GGCACCCAGGCCCCAAAACACCCACAGCGACCAGGAGGAGGAGGCGGGCTCAAAAAGCCCAAGCCTAGGCCCCGCCCAGGGGCTCACGCCTGTCATCCCAGCCACTCAGGAGGCTGAGATGTGAGGATCGCAGTTGGAAGCCAGCCTGGGCAGAAACGTCCATGAGACTCTTAGCTCCAGTGAGTCACCAAAAAGCCAGGCATAGAGCTGAAGCTCAAGGGCAGGGCTCTGGTCCTGAATTCAAGTTCCAGGGCCAGCACACACGCACACGCACACACATGCGCATACACATGCACACATAGTGTCATGGCAGCTGGGGATGGGCTCTGAGGCCAGGTGTGCCCAGACTCCCTTGAGGCTCCCTGCTCTGATACTAAACAGCTGCTCACCAGCTCAGCTGTGTGTGTGAGCTGGGGTATCAAGAGACACGCCGGCTGCTCTTCCTCTAAGTCTGAACCACCATGAGCGTGAATCTAATGGCCACAGCTCAGCCGGGTGCTCTTGTCAGCCAGATGCATGTATGCAGCCCGGGCTGGTCTTGAGCACTGGGTCTTCCTACAATTGTCTCCCGAGTTGCTGGGATTCCAGGCATGTACCACTCCCCTTAGCTTTCCATTGATTTTGTTTTCTTTTTTTTTTTTTTTTGCCAGTCATGGTGCCTGAACTCTGGGCTGGGCGCTGTCCCTCAGCTCTTCAGCTCAAGGCTAGCACTCTACCACTGGAGCCACAGCGTCACTTCCGGCTTTTTCTGCTTATGTGGTGCTGAGGAATGGAACCCAGGGCCTCATGCATGCGAGGCAAGCGCTCTACCACTGAGCCACCTTCCGGGCCCCGCCTCCCCCCTCCCCCGTGGCTTATTTCTTGAGCAACAGAATGAGGAAGACACAAATGTGTACGCCAGCTTCTTCTCTTCCAGCCTCTCCTCCGGAGCACAGGACGCAGGGCGAGAGCGAGAGCGAGAGCCGTGGGAAGAGCGCGGGAAACTGCCGGTGTTCATTGCATGTGGTGGATAATTTCTCCCACCAGCCGCAAACGAACCGATGGAAAAGGATATCTATCCCAATCTCTATATAATCTGCAAGCTGCTAGCATCACAAAAGATGTTCACACAAAGCTAACAAGAGGCCGGGCGCCGGAGGCTCCCGCGTCATCCCAGCCACTCAGGAGGCTGAGATCTCAGGCCCGTGGTTCAATTCCAGCCTGAGCAGGAAAATCTGTGAGACTCTTGTCTCCAATGAACTACCAGAAAACTGGAAGTGGCGCTGTGGCTCAAGTGGTAGAGCGCTCGCCTTGAGCTG